CTCCTGGCTGTTGCCATTGCAGGCAGGGCTCTCCAGCTGCTGAAGCCCTCAAGGAGAGGGAGACCGGTCTCTGATGATCTTGTGTGCTGCTGTCTTTCCACCCAAGCTGCTCGCAGGGTGAGGGAGGAAGGGTGCAGTGCAGGACTGTAGGCATGCTGTCCCTTCCAGTCTCTGCCCACTCAAAAGGCCAGCCTACTGGTACCGTGTGGATAGGGGCACCCGATTCTTAAGCCCATGGACAGACAGTGTTCAAGAATGAATCCCATGTCCCTCTGTATGGAAAGGCTGAATGTTGACCTTGAAATAATGGCAGCTTGGTGGGGGTATCAAAGCTCTCTACTGGTGCAGAGCTCAGAGGCAGATGCTCAGCCATGAGTGTTGGGGATATAGGGTGGTCCAGGGCCTCCTGGGCCATCAAGCCCAGCTCTCCCTGCCTTTGTAAGCAGCCGTAGACCCAAGGATTCTCCCAAATCACTTTAGATCCTCCCATGCAACTCCAAGGAACTGACCATAAGATGCTGAGGATCCATCCAGCATGCCACGTGGGAAAGGGGAGCCAAGGGCCCATCCTTGTAATGACAGGGAAGTAGCTGGTTAATACAGGATTCACAGGTCCTAATTAGGACTGTACACTGCATTAGGGAGGTGGGGAAAGTCTCCGGAGTCCACGCCAGTGTTATCTAGGGAAGAATCTTTCTTGATCCTCAAACAGGGATCAGGCTAGCCATGAACATGAGAACGAGATCCTCTGGCCAAGACTTCTAAGTGGGAGGATCCGTGTACTCCAGTCAAACCCTGCCAGCCTTAGTTGTGGCCCACATGCTGATTGTTGACCTGAGAAGTCCCTGTCCCGTCATGTTATCCCTTCCATAGACTCACCCAGCTCAGTCTTTAAGCCAGTCAGGTTCAATGCTCTCACCACTTTCCTTGGAAGAGCATTTCAGAACCTGTTCCTTTGGTGGCTAAAAAATGCTTGATTGACAGTCTTCACTTCTCTGTAGCCAGGTTGTGGCCTTTTCACCTGGTGCTGGTGTTTGTTTTTCAGCCTAAAAAGCTCTTCCACTAGTGTAAAGGCTGTTTCTGTCCTCTCCATCTCCAGTTGAATTAAAACACCACACTCCTTTGATCTTTCATAAGAAAGTTTCCATTCCCTTGCCGTCTTCAGGGCCCTTCTTTACGCCCATTCTAATGTAGGTCAATTGATGTTAATTGAACATTGGTGAACAGAACTACACAGAGTCCTGGGGTCTTTCCAGTGCCTTGTGCAATGGTCCTAGGGCCTCGTTGCCTCTACCTGGGGCACCCTAGGATGATAGCTTGCAGCCCCTTGCTCAGTATATGGCAGCTTGAAGAGCGCACACAATTTCTGCTGACACTCCAGGGTAAATAAAAGCTAGCCCATAGCGGCTCGGCTCTCAGTGAAAGAGGTCACCTTTCATTTACTTCTGGGTAAGAGCAGGCAGTTCCCACAGAGCAGCGGATGCAAGGCAAATCCTACCTTCCTTATCTCCCAGTAATCAGTATACTGTATTTGTACAGCATCTAGTACAATAGGGGCCTCTTCCCGGCTGGAAGCTGTTCTCGTCTAATACAGCCATTCTCAATCTGGCAGCCATGACCCTAAGTGAGGAAATACAACCAGCAGTCAGGATCATGTATGAGCTGGGCATTGGGTGCTGGAAATGCTGGGAACTGGTGTTTGAATGATAACACCTGGCCGTGCCCCAGACGTTTGGTGATAAATGACTAAATCCTGTTTTGTGCCCCCCGAAAAATGGGGGCGATGATGATAACGTCCTATCCCAGGGGAGTATGGCAAGGACCTGAAATCCAAGTATGCATACGCATTCAAAGGGCAAAGAAGGGTTAGTATTTTATATTGTTGTCAGTCCAGCACTGGCCACCAGACGTCAGTGTGTTCCCAATGATGGGCTCACAGTGCACACAGCAGCAATAGAGATGTCCACGGAGTTGGGAGTCATCTGATTTGGAATGACAAAGTCGAAAGCATTGTCTTGGCGTGGATAAAATGGGTGGTGTTAGCATACGTTACAGGCCGGCGTGGGCATGGCAGCTTCGATTTAACCGTTGAACTAAGCAGCAAGGCTCCACCCTAGATATTAAGCCAGTTCAGTGTGACTTAGCTATGCTGATATTATCAAGGTCAAGACTTCAAAAATCATGAGCAAGGCCAAAAAACATCATGAGAATAACTTAGAAATAGCAAGAGAGGCAAGGGGGTGTTTGGACAAGGCTTTTGGGTATAAACTGGCATTGGTCAGGTCTGAGCAATGGGTACTTTGTACCCAAAAGTTTGCCTAACATCTCTTAACTATATAGCAGATCCAATAAAAGATATCTCAAAAAAACCCTTGCTTCTTGAACGTTTCCTGGACTGTCATGGCTGTAATAATACTCCAGACCTATTTAAAAGGAGCAAGTTTAGGTTCTTTCTGTTTTCTGAGTCTTCATGGTCACACACAGATACGTTTCAAGCTTGTACTTGCATCTATAATGGCTAGAAACAACAAGTGATAATCCCCCTGAGTTGCGTGACTCCAAGAATTGGAACTTGGAGAGAAAACCTGATGGTGTTTGTAGGATTTTCACTGGTGGAAAATCTTTTTTATGGCGCAGTTTTCTGTCACTGCATCTCCATTGCAAAGCCTTTTGCAGAAACATGGTACCTTTGACCATGTTTTTTAACAGAAAAAAGTCAAAGTGTCATTTTAGCCTTTTTCCCATTTCCCTTATGTTGGAGTTTTGTCTCTGTGGGGTGGGAACACTTGGGTTTCATTTCAGCTGCAGTAACCTCTAGGGCTGTGCAAAATTTCGCCATCAGTTTTGTTTCGATGCTGTTTCGACCTGTTTTGAAGTCAAAACAGCAAAATTGAAACGGAACAGATATGGTTGAAACAAAATGAGGCAAGTCGAAACATTTTGCTGTTTCAATGCTGTTTCAATGTTTTGCCCATGGGCTATAATGGGAAAGGTTGAAACAGCCTATAATTTTATCATTTCTGGCTGTCACAACCCAAAGGGTGTGATTTTTGTTTTGTGTGCTTCAGTACTGCTAAATTGTTCCTGCTAAATTGCAGCTTCTTTGCACGGTGGAGTTTTCTGCTGCAAAAGAGAACCCCGGTGCAAGGGAGAATTTCCCGCCAATTTGAAGCTTTCTTTGCAGGGTGCATTTCTTTGTTGCAGCACAGA